AAAAGAAAAAGAAAAGAAATCGGAACAGAAAGAGTTAACGATGCTTAAACGAGCGAGGAAAAGAGACAGAACGAATGTGCGTGGGTGAGAAAGAGAGAGAAGGAGGGAGGGAAAAAAGAAGAAAAGGTTGCGTGTGCGTGTATGGTAATCCAGTGAAAATGTGAAAGATTGAGAGAACATGGGGCCGTGCATTGGGGGCGGAGTCGAATGGATAGTATAACAATGTACAGACCTTCGAATCCTATACGAGATATATATCCATCCCCGAAAAAGTTCCACCCTAACTACTTACCACCTACCTATCTACTTTTCCTGACCTCCCTCCTATCAACCACCGGTCGCCCCCAGTCATAGCAGTTATGAACCGCGGGCCGGCAGGTCTGAGTATAATTTTTTGTACTGTGTAAATGTAAGAACATACGTTTGAATAAGAAAAATGTTTATATTACGAAACGCCCGGCGTTGGATCATTGCGTCTCTCAACCCTCGAATAAATGTTCATCCGTAAGATGGATGGGTGAGTTTTACAGTGTTTCTTGTAGTAGGTGCATAAGTAATGCCTTTTCCGTAAAAATGCAAGAGAGAATTTGAATTGAGCGAATTTTTAAATATCAATTCTATTAATTAAACTTGATTGAGAATTAAGAGAGCTGTTGCGAGATTCTATTAAATCCGTTAGATAAATAATGAATTTTGATAAATGAAAATTTTTCAAGCTCAACTTGCTTATAAATTATTTTGATCAGTTATACAAGATAATTATTATTATCTCAACATTAAAAGTCATTTTTTCAGATTTTCCTACTCTATCAAAATGAAAATATGCCTAATTGTATCTTTATTGAAAAATGAAATTTCAAATTTTGTAATGGTGAGATTGTAAAATATAATGAAGAATTAATATTCGTCCTTGCAAAAAGAGAGACAGAAATATATATACATGAAAAAGATTATAAAGTCATAGATTTCAATTAAACAGATTTAATTATAAATATCTATTCGATAAAGTGGTGTGATAATGGATAATTATGTTGTATCTTGTTGAACAATGAAATTCAATTTTGCTACATGATCACATAAATCAAGTTCATATATCGAATGAAAAATGATATACATATTTAATGTCAGTGTCATAATACAGAGAAAAATATTGGCATTAATATCTACTGCTGATGAATTATATGTAACAGGTAATATTGAATATAACTTTATAATGCATGCATTTAATTTATAATATTACGTAACATATATTGATCATGAAACGATTAATGTACTTCATCTTGAAAAATTTTGTTAAATATTTATTTGTTATTTCTTTATTTTTTCTTTATTTTTTATCGAACGTAATAATTTTTCATGCAGAATAGTTTTTGCATAATATCCCATTTTTTCAGAAAAAAATTTCTCGTTATAATTACTACACAAAAAGAGAGAGAGAGAGAGACAGAGGCTATCATTATTTATTAATTAATAAAACTTTCACGAATGTGATACGAGCCAAGACGTCGCGTCGCTTCGTCTGCGCGCGCGCGTACACGTGCTTTCAAGATGGCGGCGCTCGGGAGAGGGAAGGGGGGAGATGGAGGGGAGGTGACTTTAGGCCTACCGAGTGAAGCTTGTCACAATTGCATCTCGAGTGCGTGTGAGTGCGTGCGAGACGATAGGATGATGGACGCGTGCCAGGATTGTTTATCGCTTCCCGCTATCGTTGCCGTTGCCATCGAGGGTGGCTGTGCTCTGTAACGATTAGTGCATCGCGCAACTGATGAACAACAAGATGCTCGCCTTCGTGGACGAACGTACGCGACGCCGGGACTGGCATTGATACAAGTACGCGCTCTCTGCGCTGCACCGTGCCGCGATCCACCTCGTACATGTCAGTGTATTGAGCCAAAATGGCAGCCACGTTAACCGTCGAGCAGGAGCAAGTGAGTAATTTCTGTCAAACGTACGTCAAACGAAGGAACGCAGCTTCGTATCGTGGCCTGTCGCGCCCCCGCCTCCCCGAATCTCCGGAATTCGAAGAGAGCGATCCCTTCGGGACGGGACGTCGCGAACCGCGCGGCGGCTTCCCGGATAAATTCGGATTCCCGTTTCCCGTGTCTCGCGATACGCGAGATTGATCTCTATGTTTTTGTTCGTGACAATGGAGGGTTCGTGACCCTCGGCGGTGATCGTCGCTCGCCTTCTTTCGTATCAGCGTCGGAGATCAATCTCGGATCTCGCGCTTCTATGTATCACCGATCACACAATTTTCGCGTACGGTTATCGGTTCCCGAGTTAAATTCTCGGAATCGATTCGGCGCGCTCGTGTGAAAGAATGTAAACATTACTTACCCCCGTTGTTATCTCGCGAACGTTTTAAAAGAGCGAGATAACGATTGTAAACACGACACACGTACATAAATCGTGTCGTCTCTTTCGTCACCTCGAGAAAATTAAAAGCGACGAGAAAACGCGTGGGAAAGAAGCAAACGATTATTTACCGGATCGCTCGCCGGAAATTCGAACGTCTTGACGCAACACGGTGTTAATAATGGCCCGTGTTTCCGGTAACTGGTTTTTTTTTGGGGGGATCGAGAGGAAAGGGGGGACGCCCACGCGTCCCGATTGAGAAATTTCGACTATTTTAAACTGCTATTAAACGTGGTGCGACGCGAGTCGATGATAGCCAACGGTACGTGCTTTATTCGCGACTACTTCCGCCGCTTAAAAAATGCACATTGATGTAATACCCGGTGAGTCTTTTAAATTCTACGTACGGGTGCGGTCGAAATATCCGAGTAATGTTAAATCACGCGTTATAAATGATTTTACAATGAGATTTCCTATCGTTCCTTGTTAAACAGGTATACGTATTGCGATTTGATGAAGAAACTCAATCAGGGATTTTTTTTTCTCATGGAAAAATTGACAACATTTTTATTATCGATTATTAGAGAAACTTTGTTTAATAAACGATATAAAAATTATTGTTTTGGAATACAACGAATGTTCGACTTGCAATTTATAAGATTGTTTCAGCTGATGTTTTAAATCAATAGTGAAACATTCATCAACAAGAGTTGATGTGTAGAGAATCTACGTATCAATAATGTACGTCTGTTGAAGCTTACATTAAATTTATTAGTGTTGCTATTGAAATCGATCGAGTCTATTTAACAATTTAACTGATGGCGGCGGCATCGCATCAATAAACTGATAATTCTGTTTAACAAACTCTCAGTAAAACTCGATTTGCTAGCTACAACGTATTTCCTCCGAAAACGAGATTTTCCCGCGTATCGATCCGTGGTATTAAATTTCGGTCTGGCATTAAACTGCATATATTTTGAGCGAACGAATCCTCTCGTTAACGGAGATAAATAATAATCGCGTTTTAATAATGATAGTTCCGTCTGTTTCACGTCAAGGATCGATTACGACGGTAGTCTTGATTAATTAACGCCAATTACGAATCCCTTGACTCTTTCTTCGTTGCTATAACGTAGTCATTTTGTCGGAAAGTTTACATTAAATTACGTTTAACGTTAATTTTTGCGTAATCAGTCTTTTAAATGCAGCGAATTTCTCTTAACGCGTCCTGAAAATGTGTTGAGAGAGAAAAGACAGACCTATTAATTTTTTTATTATGCATTTAAACAAATTATAAATTTAAAAAATTATTTTTTTTATACAATTTTTTAATTACGATATAATTGCAAATTTGATCAAAGGTGAATTTTATTATCAATCTGTTTGTACTATACATCCGGGTATATTCATCCCCAATAATGTGCGAGGAAAAGGAATAATATCTATGTCATAAATGAAATAAACATCGTTTATTCGCGTCGATTCGTTCTTCATTATGCGGCAAATAAGTGATTCACGCATAAAAAATTCGAGCTGCAAAAATGTATATCAAGAGAGTTTACAGTATTAAATTCCTCGGCTTCTCTCTTTCTCTCTCTCTCTCTCTCTCTCTCTCTCTCTCTCTCTCTCTCTCTCTCTCTCTCTTTCTTTCTCTTTCTCTAATACATAGACCGACCAATACCACTTACCGTACCGGCTGGTCCCCGCCGGCTGGTATATAGCGGAAATGACCGGTGGGGAGGTAGCCGGACACCGGAAGTTGTATCGGTAGTATACCGTACATACGTATATATACACTCCTCGTCGTCCACGGTCATTGCACGTTTTAATAGTGTAAAAATGATACGTCGCCATCGTACATTACGACGGTATCGACAATTACATCGTCTCGTCCCATCCTATCGTCTCAACAGTTCGTGCGACTGAGAATCGATCACGAGAGTATAAAAATATTGTGCGTAATTTCGGTACGAGTTCGATTTCCGATGATTTTTGCCGGTATGGAAGAATTAGACGCGTTTACATTGCGTTTCCGTTATCGCGATAAGATTATTTCCGCATGCTTGGCATTATCGAAGTTTCAAGTCGACGAAATTATATCAGCTTTGGAATTCATAAATCAAGTATTTCTCTCTCTCTCTTTTTTTTATTATTATACAATGAGATCATGTGTGACGAATCGATGAGCCGACGAATAATCGAGATATGCACGCATGTTGCGTTCACATCGATCGGGTCGCTCTGATAAAGATTATAATTCGCCGTTTCCTGCTCGCACGCGCCGCTAATGCAAAGCGTCGTTTTCAAGGTTGACATTGTGCAACGATGTATGTAAGATGCTGAACGATTATGACCGGGATTTTGTTATCCAATGCACATTACATTATCCAGCGCTGGTGTTTCAGCGACAAGTGATAATTTATTCATGGAATAATTACATTCGCTCTATTTTTGCGACAATGCGAATAATAAAGATGAAAGATAAAAAACAACAGAAAAGTGCCTTCTTAAATACTCGAAGAGTGTTAATATATCTGTGATATTATAGAAAAATCTTTTTTTCCATTGGTTATTAATATTAATATTTATTATTTATATAAACATTCTAATTTTTATGAAAATTATGAAGAATACAAAAAATATGCAAAATACTTGATCTATGATAATATAAAAATGTGTATTATAATTTCTCTTTCTTCTTCTATTATATATATATATATTGAAATTTGTCTATATACATATTAATCATATGTAAGACGTTCTTCTCAAGTATGAAAATACATATGTATATAATATGATTTTTTTCTCAGGCTACAAAGGAATTTATAGAAGCTGTGAATAAATGTAGAGCTGGGAGACGAGCTGGGCCGGTATCCTGGAGTACCGCGTTAAAATTCTTAGCTGCGCGAAAGTTTGAAGTTCAACGAGCTTTAGCTCTGTATGAGCAGCACGAAGCCACTAGAAGAAGAGAGGGACTGGCGATCTTGCATCCTACTCAGGAACCTTTACTCAGTGAACTACGCACAGAAAAATTTACCGTTCTGGTAAGACAAGAAAGCCTATTAATGCATATATTCTGTTGGTTTATAGCGAGTTAATGTATGAATTATTTCAGCCATCTAGAGATGCAACAGGTGCAGCGATAGCTATTTTTACCGCACATTTACATCTTCCACAAAATACTACACATCAAACGACTCTGCAAGTAAGTATTTTATGATGTCAATATATATATATGTATGTATGTATATATATGATTTTCTATTTCTTTCCATTAACGTAATTTTACAAAATTTAGAACATTGTAATAACGAGCTTTGTTATTTTTTTCAGGGTGTTGTCTATCAATTAGATGCTGCTCTAGAAAGTGCAGAAACGCAGAAGCATGGTCTAATTTTTATTTATGACATGTCTGACAGCAAATATCAGAATTTTGATTATGACTTGTCCCAGAAAATTTTGACACTTTTGAAGGTAAGTCGAATATATTTTTGATACTGATATCGAGATAATAAGGGATCATAATATTTGCACGATGTGTCCGAAGGCTTCAAAGTTTAATGACTTAACTCTGCAGCTTTCGTACTTGTTAAAAATAATAAAAATTATAATCAACATATGCATGACATATCAAAAAAAAATATGATGACAAAAAAGATGAATATATTACGAATGTATAAAGCAATCTTTAAAGTGAAGCTTGAGAAAAGGCGCGAATAGAAATTTAAGTACTGAGAATGTATATATGAACAATCAACTATTTGTGACTTACCTAAATAATCAAGAAGCGCGAAGCTTATTTCCGCTTATTCTCGACGATATAATATAACGTCAAACATTTCTCGAGTGCTTCCTGTTGCAAAATTGCTACGCAAGAGTATTGTGTAGAATCTCGTATTTTTCTTTTAGACACGTCAGATTTTTATTGGATAATCGGAATTGTAAAATATCATATTTTTTCCGTATATTACACATCGATTTATACATTGTTTTCTCTCGAAATATGCGTAATACTTTTCGATGCGACACGAAATTAAGCGGCGTAACGACTAGCGTTTGTTTAAGCGAAGCGGAGCGGGGTTAGAAAGCGAGAAAAAATTGTAGTAAGAGGAGAGTGTCTTGCGACTATTCATTATGCATAGTGATGTACGGTCTCATTTCTCTCATCCTTGCCAATGTGACAAAGATGTTTGATCATGCATAATAATATCGTCTGTGATATTATGATATTTGATGAATGAAAGTCGCTGCGCTATTTGTTTAAATTTTAAGCGGTAAAATGCAAAATATATAATAGAAGATTGGTTTAGATACATCGTTTTGCAAATTTGTAAACGTTGTTGAATAACTTCATTCTGTATATATTGTTATATATATATAATTTTATGTATTTTAATAGAAAGTAATTTATATTATTAGTAAAAAATATTTGCTCACGAATGTGCACGCAAAGTATTGCGATTGTGGAGATATATGTACATTACATATATATTAATAATAATTACAAATTTGCAAAGTGGCTATCGTTCCGTCCGCGATCTAAATTTCACATATATAAATAGTACACAGTATAATGAATGAAAGAGACAGTACGCGCTCTTAGACAAATTTCTCCGAATAGAGGAGTGTAATAATTATGCGAATTACATGAGCACGAAGTGCCTTTAACATGATCTAAAATGCGTGGTCCGATTAACATTCAACATCATGTGCAATTTCGTCCGGCTCTGAGCGGCATTATAGTTATTACCATCGCTGAAGTTAACCCAATTAGTCATCGCCGGTCGGTCGAAATAGTCTCGCGCGTTAATGCTTTGATGCGGTCAGCCCACTTACATAAAAAAATGGTGTCATATGTGATGTATCTGATTCTCTTGATCTCTCCGAATACGCAGTGTCACTTTAATGTCGTCATTATTTGATAAACGCGCGATATTTTTTTCTTATTTCAATTTTTACGTGATTGATATATATATATTTTTATTTCAATGTTAAATAATTTATCGTTTTTATCTATAAAAAGAATGAGACTTCTCCTATTTTTTTACGATATATAAAGTTTCTTTAAAAAAATTTTTTTCTTGTTTAAAACTATATACGGTATATGCTCGTTATATATCGTGTTGTTTTTCTGAGACTCCTTCTTCTTGACAAGCCGCAAAATCTGAATCGGCTTTTAGCATACAAGGATGTGCAGCTCAAAGAACAGCAAGGCTTAAGGGTGTTCATGCTTCACGAAAAGTGGATTTGCAATTACGCAACGAAGCACATCAAAGTATAGCGTGTGTAGAGTGACTTTCAAAGGTTTCCTAGGAACTTCCTTCTCTAGTGACGTCATAAAGTATATGAATAACGTACATGTATAACATTAACGTCATCGTTAAATATGTTAAATAATGTGAGGGCGGTTACGCGAGACGAGTCTCCCTTGTATTTTTCCCACTCTAGAAAAGTTATTATCGTCTGTAAAACTGTGAGACCTTCACGCACCACGCAGTTTAATCGAGTTCTAATCGCGCAATGAACCGTACTTCTCCAAGGGATTTGCTTAATGATGTCTTTTATAAAGGTTTCAGTACGCAGTGACATTTGCACGTATGTACATCGCGATACGCGCAACAATTTGCTTCACGCATTTTCTACGCCGAATCGCGTAAATAACGATCAATTTGATAGCGTAGTGCGTGCGATGATATAAATGGAAACGCGCGAATCCGCAAATTGTCATAAATGGAACAGTGTATTCAACAAGAAAAAAGTACTATAGTATCGTGATAAAAGGAATCATTAAAAGATAAAAAAAAAGATTAGATAAGGGAAAAAGAATAGGAAGAACTTCTTTATTCATGAATTTATCAATTGCATATCAAAAGTTACTCTTGTCATTCGGATATTTTTTTTTAATAGCGGTCATACGCATTAATGTTAATTAGCGAATAATTGTGTAATTTCAAGATTCAGTTTCTGCAGAAATGTTTATAGCCAGCATCAATGTTAACTGATCAATTATACAAAGAGTGACGCTCCGGTCGGCCGGAAACCACGGTTGAGAGACACTGGTAGGCAATACGTCACCGGTTGCTGCACCTCCGCTGCTGGCGATAAAAAAAGGATTTCGCGTAAGGGATGTCGGTGGCGAAAAGAAGGGGTCGTGTGTAGAACGGACGACGGCGCATGCGTCATATTCCCTTGCTGGGGATAACCGTCGCGACGCTGGCGGTCAGTAATCATCGTGACCCCCTTGCGGGCATCTCGTCGGATACGGTACGAACGACCTGATTCTCCTCCCCTTTCCGTTCGTTCGATCGCGTCCTTGTTCGCGTGCGAGGCCAGCGTTCTTCCATAACGACGACGACGTCGCCGTAAACTCTCTCCATCTCCTCATCGACAAGAAAACGAAGACGACGCGAATTGTCAAGTGTGCGCCTCGGCGGTGTTATACTAATCTCGCGCTATCGATTAACTGACCGAGTGCCGGCAGTGATTTCGAGCCCCGGTGCCTGGGTAATCGTCGCGTGCGTCCCGATCGTCCGACCTGTCCCTGCCAGAGAAGATACGCTAATTCTCGAAGACGATTTGCTATCTCTTGATGCCGCGGCGATCTCGCGGCTATTGATATGCGACCTGCGATCTCTCCTGCCGCTTTCGACGACAGTTGCTCACGGTAAATTTCGGCTGTCAGTCGATCGATCGATTGGCCAACCAGCACATCTGACTTGGCAGATTATGTTTGATTATGTTTCACGTAGCTCGACTAAAAGGAGGCCGGAGCGGCCTCGCGGAATATGCAACGTACGTCTCGGCTAATTCGAGACGTTTGCGCGCTCGCGCGATCCTAAATTTATACGCGCTTCGCTTGCGGAACTGACGATGAGATTTCTTCCCGGAACAAGATCGCGTCAGTGTTGTGTGCCTTGTCCTCGTTACGCTCTCGCACCTCGATGACGTTTGTTGTATACGTAGCCACTGTTACGTGTGCTACAGTGGTGGTGGGGTAGTGATCTGCTGACGTCGTTGGCACGTTACGGTACATCCGCCCTCTGTGCGGGGGTTAAATTATTCGGCTCTTCCTGTATCTTGTATGTAATCGAAAAAACGCGCGTTTGTTCGCTTCGTTGCATTCATCGCTAATAGACAATTTGCTGATTAATGCGAGAAAAAAAAAACGGCGGGAAAAAGAGACGCAAAGATATACGGTCTCTTTCATTTCGGAGCACTTTAATTCTTCTAATAATAATCTGACAATCCGATTAAAGTATCTGATTTTACGTGCACTTTTCACACGTGAAACATTTCCTTAACTTCGAGGAAATATATATAGTTGATCTATAGTTGTCAGTCGATTTAATAATGTATAATATATACTGTTCTATTATAGCAATGTCTTTGAAAGGTCAAGCGCATAACTACGTTTTTAGAATTGTAGCTTAAAATATTATTTGCTAGTATTTTTATCATTGTCAAAAATGGAAGAATATTCTAATTAATAATAATCATGTTTAATGTTTTAAATTAGTTGTAATTATTGATATAATCTGTTTATTACTTTTTATGTTATATATGGATAATATAAATCAAATTCTTAGTTATAAATTAATGTTATTACGATTATAATAGATAATTTTTATTATAAAATAAAAATAATATGCAAAATATTAAATTTTTTTTTACATAAAAACAGCCTGTTGTTTATATTATACTTGCATTATTATTTTAGGGTGGTTATCCAGCAAAACTAAAAAAGGTCTTGATCGTGACGGCTCCGTTGTGGTTTAAAGCGCCCTTCAAGATCCTCCGATTATTCGTTCGTGAAAAATTGAGGGACCGAGTGTTCACAGTATCCATTCCTCAATTGACATTGCATATTCCACGAGAATCATTACCACATCGTTTAGGCGGCACGTTGGAGATACAGCATGAAGCATGGCTACTTCATTGTCTTAAATCCATGACTAACCGAGGCGGGGGTGAACTTTGTGAGGTCAGTACTTGATACAATTTTAAATTAACCGTACGTCTTTTCTTTCGTGTCGATATACGACGAATTCGAATAAATTGTTCAACTAAATAACTTTGGAATTATATGCTTTCAGGTCGCCCCAAGAGTAGATACACCCACGTCGCCCACGGCGAAGGATGATACGGTTCATCAAAATCTTAATGAAACTGCAACGCACAGTACTCCGACTAGTCCTATAATCGATAAAAACAAACAGGTGAAAAATGGTGTGTCGAATATTGCCGACATCGAAATCACCACTGCAAATAGTGAGATAGCATGGCCGGAAATCGATGAGGCGCCATCCCCAGTTCAGGCTCCGTCCTCAGCTAGTTCCGGTTTTAGTGACGATGATAGCCTTCACGGCGAGCCTTCCGGGCTTCAAACTTTCACTATGGAACAACTTGTAGCAGATCTAAAAGTGCGAGGACGTGCTGGTCTCATAAAAGAATATACGGAAATTAGGCAGAGACCGCCGGATGGTTCATTTAATAATGCAAAGTGTGTAACAGTAATATTTTATGTTTACGCGAAAACATTAGCCCTCTCCCCTTCTTTCTTTCAATTAATACTATGGTATTGTTTGTTCTAGATTAAAATCTAATCAATCAAAGAATCGTTACACCGACGTGCTTTGCTATGATCATAGCAGAGTCTGCCTTTCGCAAATAGATGGAGATGCAACATCCGATTACATAAACGCAAATTTTGTCGATGGTTACAAGCAAAAGAACGCGTTTATCAGTACTCAGGGTCCTCTTCCGAAAACTTGCGGTGATTTCTGGAGGATGGTTTGGGAACAACAAACACTGGTCATTGTCATGACTACGAGGTATATTGTTTTACTTGTACATTCTCAGTATCAAAGTGAACTTGACGTCTCGCATTGATATAAAATTTTAACAATTTTGACGATATACACCATATTATAGAAACTTTATGTAACTTTATAGTTTTATATAATTGTATTATCCTTTTTCTCTTGTTTCAGAGTGGTGGAGAGAGGGCGTACAAAGTGTACACAGTACTGGAATCCGGAACCGGGTTATGACGTACAAGTGGGTGGCTTTACAATAACTACTCTCGAAGTTGATAAAAATCGTGATTACACAATATCCATGCTTCTTATTACAAATACAAAGGTACATATATACCTATGTAATTTTATTTTTTCGATTAATATATTTTGTTGTATATATTTATATGTATATGTTTGTTTCATATCAGACTGATGAGACGAGGGAGGTTTGCCATATGCTTTACACGGCATGGCCAGATTATGGTGTTCCTAAGTCGGCTTCAGCTTTATTGCAGTTCTTGTCTTTGGTGAGACAGCAACAGAGCAAATTACTCGCCAGCAGAGGAGATACATGGGCCGGACATCCTCGAGGACCACCTATAGTTGTACATTGCAGTGCTGGCATTGGAAGAACAGGTAGGTAGAATGCTTCTTGAAAACAGAATTATAACTCAGAATATGAGTATAGTATATTTTTTGAAAAAAAAAAAAATGTCAATACTGGCGCGTTTCCAGGTACATTTTGCACCTTGGACATTTGCATATCGCGACTTGAGGACACTGGAACTGTGGACATACGAGGAACTGTTGAAAAGATCAGATCACAGAGGGCCTACAGTATTCAAATGCCAGATCAGTACTTTTTTTGCCATGTTGCTCTAGTGGAGTATGCGTGTTCTAAAGGACTGCTTAGCGTACAAAATGTCTCTGTGCTCTCTCCATCGATCGAAGAGGATTCCGATTAAGAAAATGAGAGTTTTGCTATCATTATCGGATTGATGTTCTTCCCAAGTATGCATATATATGGTATCCTTAAAATAGCCTATTTCTATCTTATAAACGACTGAAAGTTATTTTTCGCTATTGTTCCCATCGATGTAACGATTTAACTTCTCGCTGTTACATCCCACACTCCTAAAAATTGGATGGGTTCTTTTTCTCAAAGTCAAATGTAAGCGAATAGGAAACTTCACATTCCTGTTCCTTTCGTCGGGCTCTGATGAATACTATATAATTCTATATAAAGGTGCATCAAAAAGCACTAATTACAAAGATAAGTATTTTATTAGTAAAATAAGAATTTGGCATGTAAACAATTCTGTGTATCGTATCTTGACTCTCTCAGATATAAGTTATCATGAGAATATAAAGTTATGACTAATCTTTCAAAATTTATTTGGACTTACAATATTAAATTGAATTTTTAATCACATAATGAGGAGAATATCTATAATTGTAATGTGTGTTATGCAGTTTCAGTGTTATAATTTAGTACACCAGGGAGTCGATTGTATACTTGTCCCTTAGGGCGAAAAAATGAAAAGTTTCGCGTAAATTCTATGATTTCGCTCGATCATGTAACTCTCCTAACCGCGGAAATGTGAAACTTTTTATGTGAACTTTTTTGCCATGAAACTTGGTGGCGGAAAGGCAGAAATCTATTTTGGAATAAATGTGATACATTCTTGTTAGTATTGCATTAACAGAAGAAAGGTTTGTCGTGCAATGCTGTACTAATAATAATAATCCCCTTTAGCTATAAAGCCTAGAATCCATGTTTAATGATTTCACTTTCCGCGCATCCAAGCTACATAATCAATATGCGTAATAAATTTCGTGAAATCTGGATGAACAAAAAATGAAAAATGAGTGAATATGCATAAAAGGTCATAATACTTCACCGATTTAATCGTCACTTACGTATGTTGTAGGAGTGTTCTGAATAATTCCCCGTCAGTATCAAGTGATAGACAGCATTGGTTTAGGAGATATAACAAATTGAAGTTTGACATAAAGTTTGTGTATGCTATAATAATCTGTTATTTTATGATTGAAATATTAAATATTAAATTGGTGAAGTGTGACCTTTGCATATTTATTTTGTAGGTGTGGCATTTTATTTTTTAGGTGTGCATATTTACCGAAAAGTGAAAAGTTTCATGTGAAATGACATGATCGATTCCCTGTAACTAAATATATATTAATCACAAATATTAGTCATTACTTTGCGTTCCTACAACAATTGCATAGATCCAGTTTATACTCATTATTTATACTTATTATTTATACTTTATTCATATTTATATACTTTTACTCATATTTTCACAAAGTTAATATACTTGATACAAACATAGTTGAATTAAAATGTTTGGTGCGTACTATTTTGGTTCATAAAAGTGTATGGTATAAATTAGGCCATAGGAATATTCTTACGAGATTATGAATAAGTTTATTTGAGAGAGTTAAATTCGATCGTGCTAAAAGTGAAGAAACCAAGAGATATAGAATTTTAAAAATATATGAAAAATATAAATGTGATTATACATATATATATTATATAGTTCACACACAAATTATGACAAATATGGTTTAACAGTGGTCAAAATATAGCCACTATTATTCAAAATTACGAGATTTAGATGTATTATTAATAATAACATACGGCTTCTCTGCCTTACAGAAATATAGAGTACACTAGAGAATAAACAACATACTAATAGATGTTTTTGGGTAACCAAAGATTATCTGCTACAACTCTTTGCAAATGTAGAAAACCGAAATTTTAATACATATGTAAAAAGTACTTTGGTTATATATATACAATCGCGCGGAAAAATTCCGTTTTACAGGGATTACTAATCAGGGATCATATTGTAGACTAAACAGTTTCCGACGCGACTAAACAAGAAGCCTAAAGAATTCAAGGTTTTAAAAGTTAAGATTTTATGTTAGTCGAATAAACTTCCTGTTTATCTGACAACTAACATATATTATATGTTTCATTATGAAATTATAACGATCAAAGATCATATATACTTGCGAGCATCAAACATTTAATGACATTTTAAGATCTAGGTATAAATTATAATCTCAATATTAACACGCAATGATTATGCAAAAATTTTATCTTCAACGGATACTATAACATAATGATGAGAAAGAACGCAATTGAATACGAAAAAGATGTAGACTCGTTATACATTGTAGATGAAACTTGCGCGATGTTTAAACACATCATTGATTTTATACGTAACTGTGAAACAATTAATATGTATATCTTCAGATTGTAAAGATGTCTCATTTTCAAAGTATTGCGAGATGTGTATCTTTGGTTCTATACGATATTTACTCTAGTAAAATAAACAGTAAAATGTAATGAGAATTTCGAATAATGCTGCTTTTGATATCTCTTGATTGTTGTCTTACGCTTTTTGATTTTGTTATTATACCCGCTAAGAACTTATATATTATGTAACCTTGGATATATGTTAAAACACTGTGTCCGATCTGTCTTGTATCCAATAAGTACTCGAATCATTTATCCATTGAATGTATACGAAACCTGATGCAAGGAAACTGCGATATGTGTGAGACGAATCGTTTCCTGCACACACTGGTCACTCGGTGTCTTGTGGATTACAAATTTTATCGTGGGTTATTATGGTATTAGTATCGTGAAGCATTGTGATAGTCGATAGAAGTATCTGAGAATTCGTATTTCTATTCTTCCAAATACTGCCATTGCCAATTACGCTAATTTCTATTTTTAATCATGCTGACTAGTTAAATTTTTTGCGGTGTAAACACGATACGGCCGCGCGCGCGCGCGCGCGTGTGTGTGTGTATATATGTATACATAGGTATATATATATATATATATATATACACACACATATACATATTACATATATTAATATATTATATATATACACTAACTGATATGTAATAATTTATTAACATTGAATTAGGACACGATGTATGTAATAAAGTAATGGCGGAATACACTTTGCTGGAAAAGATATACATTTCATACATACGCAAAGGTGTCCAAATTCCCATCTTAATACATTATTGCGAAAGAATTGAATGAAAATTTTCGCTATAGTGTTTTGTTAAAAACGATTTTTCCAACACTCTGTAAAAAACCGTTTCGCAGAGTATTTTATTTTAGCAGAATGATAACTAGCCAGTTGTTAAAAAAATGTCTTCGAATTTTATACGAGATGTATGCGCTGTTGTACCGCAACGAAAAGAAAAGCTTAGTCACGTTTAAATAAGTTATCGAAATTTCAACTTAATATATACATATACATGCACACAAAATATGTATGTATGTATGTATTATACTCACGCACGCATATTTAAAGCAATAAATATAAGATATATATATATATA